ACTAACCCGGGCGCTCCATCCCACATGGGCTAAACTACGTGAGTGCAATGACGGTCGTCAATTCGTTTCCAACCGTTTGTCAACGAGTCAATCAATTAGCAGCCGAGTTCAGTACAGTTCTTACAACTATTAACCATGCACTTTCATGCGATGGTTGCTGTCATTTCGTTTCCCATTTGAATAAAATAGCAGAATCATAATTAGAATGTTGAGAGAACGTTTAAGCGGAAGGTAGCACATTCTCATAGACTGAAATTACAAGGATAATGAGTTGATGCATGAGCGCCGAACTCCATCATCGTTTGTTCCTTTTAAACCCGTGACTCGTATGATCCTAACAGCCAGCTACCAGAAAATATTTTCATCTGCTTATACGTTACAAACCATTTGGAATGCTCCCGACTAATTGTCGTGCAAAGTACTGGCGTATCTATCACGACAAAACTGCATCTTGACATGGTGTGATGGCTTGTGCACCTCTCTGACCCAACGAGCTCAACAGGATGGCTTTTGTCAAGCCGAAGATATAATCATGCTTCGAGTATACATGGCTACAACGTGATTGTAAAATGCCGGAGCGTCCACAAAGGATGGCCACCAAAATGGTTAGGGGGTTGAATCTTTATTCATAACGCAGAGAGATTAAAGTCGCTGGGGTTATATTCCAACAAACGACAGGCGCGTCAGAGGAGACATGATAATGGTGTACCAAGTAATACAAAACCCAAGCTATCTGTGACTCCCGCTGCTAAAATTACCGCGCAACGTTCATCTAAGAGAACATTCGCTCAAACTAATGGTCTCAAAGTACCGATTGAAATGCCAGCGTCATTCATTCGCGGTCAGAGTGTGTTCACTCTGGAACTTTCTCACACCCCACGTCGTCTGTGCGCCAAGCGTGGAATCTTTCAAACTGAGACTTAATGCAACATTATCACGCCTTTATTCCAACCTAAAAAAAAGCTACGTGCAGCAGCGGAACAATCCCGTATCATGTGACATTTTACACAAGGGATTGTGTGTATCACAGTCTGTTAACCACAACACGAACCTATGGGACAAGAGAAAAGCATGAGCTTGTAAGTTATTCCCATGATAAAACTTCTGAACAGAGTAACATTTGCAGAACAGGCTAATGCGGATTAGCGCAAACGGATTTGCTTTATCTTGAGAATCACAATGATGATAGTGATTCAAAGCGTTCAGACTGTTGTTGTTGAGGCCAGTCAGCACTAATGTTACATCCAATGAGGAAAAAACGATAGTCTAGGCCAACAACCAAAAGGGGAGTTCTACACGATAAGTTTGTGTTTGAGTGAAGCATTCTCTAATTCAGTAGGGAGTTC